CGTCCAGAAGCAGCCCCACAGGAAGTGGACCTGGTCGAGCCCCGACGGTTCGACAAAAAATGAGATTGACTTCATTATGACGACCAGACGACAACTGTTCAGTGACTGAAACCGGTAGCGATCACCGAATGATGAGAGGCACATTGAACCTAACCGTTGAGTTGGAGAGGTCACGTCTAATGAAGTCAACGCTCCGTCCCTCGTGCTCTAATCCAAAGTCCCGAAACCTGTCAGTTCGAGCTACGAAACAGTTTTCAGTGCCTAGATGATTGCAATGCAGTGGATGATATGAATGACAAGTTCGTGGAAACTGTCCATACGGTCGGAGCTAAGTTTTGGAAGACCCGCCGCAGAAGAACACTAAAAATCTCCGATTACACTCTTGATCTCATGGCTGTTAGACGGAATATGAAGCTGCAGTCTTCAGTAGATTTGACAGCATACAGGCAACTGAACAGACAGATCTCCAAATGCATGCGGTGGGACTTACGCAACTTTAATACTGCTCGTATTAAAGAAACGAGCGGAACCAGAGCTCCAAAGTCTTTGCTAGAGATCTGTCTGCCAGAAAGAGCCAACTGTCGAAGCTGAAGACCGAGTGTGGCAGCGTCGTTTCCGGGACACCTGAGATTTTGTGTGAGATTGAGAGGTTCTATGGGTAGCTGTACATATCATCCTTGGAGCCACACGTAAGTGTGAGTAACGTGTAGTGTTATGTTACTTACATATCATTTTACATTATTTTAAATTCATTTTTCCATTCTGTTTCGATTTTCTGCATTCACCTCAAAACTGGATATTTTACATCACCTTTATTTCCATAGGATCCTGTAACGATTTTAAACCATAAGAACACAATAACAAATCATTTTTACTTCGTATTTTCACACTATCAACACTTTTAAATTGGTGTCAATGGAGTCTACCTTTTTCGATCTTTTATTTAGTTTTCCGTAACTCTGCAATTTCGGGCTTTGTGCGCGCAGTTGCGCTACCTTTTTTCCTATATCAATAATATCTCATTTTTCACTTAAATCTTGCCGTTTTTCTATTACGAGCCTAAAACCAAAATTTGACAGGTTTTGACATCGTTGTTTATTTGGTTGTCATGACAATTATATTCAAATTCGCTACCGGTCTGTTGTTTCTATTTCGATAATTCCACATAAATACTCTTTCCTCTTGGCCATTTACAAAAAAATTGCGTTTAATTTAAATAATTTTCCCGTTCTCTCTAAAAAGGTATAAAAGCCGAACAATCGGTCAAGAAAGGAGTCTCGCTTCAGTTCTTGAATTCGAAGCATCTCCTAAAGGCCTTATCCCGGGGCCGCACTGCCCCGGGATCCTGCAAGCCTCTGTCCTGCCTGAAGCCGCTGGACCCTGCAAACCTCTGCTCTGCCTGAAGTCGCCGGATCCTACAAACCTCTGCTCTGCCTGAAGTCGCCGGATCCCACAAACCTCTGCTCTGCCTGAAGTCGCCGGGATCCTACAAGTCTCTGCTCTGCCTGAAGTCGCCGGATCCTGCAAACCTCTGTCCCGCCTGAAGTCACCGGATCCTGCAGGCCTCTGTCCTGTCTGAAGTCGCTGAGGATCCTGCAAGCCCCTGTCTTGCCTGAAATCGCCGGATCTTGCAAACCACCGCATTCACCTGAGGTCGTCGCCTAGAGACGCCCACGCCTTCTCACCTACGCCGTGCGTGCTCGTTCCAGGCGCTGAGAGCACTTGCTGTACACCTTGGATCTTCGGGCTCAGCTTCGACACTAATCTCTTTTTTTTATTACCTTTTTTTAAATAATTTGTAAATCACGACATCCATCCTCATCTTCATACTCCATTTTGTTATATAAAATTGTAAATATCTTTTAAATCTTAAATATATTATTTGTTTTTGTTCTATTTTTGTTGTTTTGCTGTTACTAGGTTAGGTTCTTTTTTGTTCTTAATTGTCGCTTCACGACAAACGATCCAAGAGCGAGTTTTATCCGACACTATTCCGATGATATACCGGACGTCAGTCTGAGCGAGATTAGAATGGCTCTCCAGCACCTTAAAAAAGGCAAGGCCCCAGGCGAGGATGGAATTACAGCGGAGCTTCTGAAAGTGGGTGGAAAACGGGTACTTGAAGTCCTCCATGGTGGCATTACACCGGAGGCGTGGAGCAGAAGTGTGGTGGTCTTGTTCTTCAAGAAAGGTGACAACGCTCTCTTGAAGAACTACAGACCGATTTCCTTTCTGAGCCGCGTCTACGTGCTGTTTTCGAGAGTCATTACGAGTCGTCCCGCGCGCAGACTTGACGACTTCCAGCCTCCCGAACAACCCGGTTTCCGAAAAGGCTTTAGCACCATAGACCACATACACACCCTTCGGCAAATTGTACAGAAATCCGAGGAGTAAAATTTGCCACTATGTGTGGCGTATGTGGACTATGAGAAAGCCTTTGATTACGTCGAAATTTGGGCGGTGCTGCAGTCCCTTCAGCGATGCCAAGTTGACTGTCGGTATATCGAAGTGCTGAAGTGCTTGTACAGTAGGGCTACGATGGCTATCCGAGTACAGAACCAGAGTACGAAACTTATCCAATTGCAGAGAGGTGTACGACAGGGTGACGTTATATCCCCGAAACTCTTCACCGCTGCATTGGAAGACGTTTTCAAGCTTCTGGACTGGAAAGTATACGGTATTAACATCAATGACGAGTACATCACTCACTTTCGATTTGCCGACGATATAGTCCTTATGGCAGAATCGCTGGAGGACCTAAGCGCTATGCTTAATGACCTCAATAGTGTTTCCCAACGGATAGGTCTTAAGATGAACATGGACAAAACAAAGATCATGTTTAATGTCCATGTCACACCTATGCCGGTATTTGTTAGGAGCACTAAGCTCGAAGTTGTTGACGAGTATGTTTACCTGGGACAAACAGTCCGACTAGGTAAGTCCAACTTCGACTGAGAGGTCAATCGACGGATTCAACTCGGCTGGGCAGCGTTCGGGAAATTACGACACATCTTCTCATCAGTTATACCTCAAAACTTGAAAACGAGACTGTATAACCAGTGCGTGTTGCCAGTGATGGCATATGGTACTGTGACGTGCTCCTTCACTGCTGGCCGGATGAGGAAGCTCAAGGTCGCTCAGCGAGCTATGGAGAGGGCTCGGAGTTTCTCTGCGTGATAATCTTAGAAATGAGGATATCTGCAGTAGAACCAGAATGATCGACATAGCCCAACGAATTAGTAAGCTGAAGTGGCAATGGGCCGCCCATATAGCTCGAAGAACCGATAACCGATGGGGAAAAAAGGTTCTCGAGTGGTGACCTCGTACTGGCGGACGAAGTGTAGGGCGTCCCCCCACTATATGGAGTGACAACCTAGTAAGATATGCAGGAAGTCGATGGATGCAGGTGGCTCAGGACCGTGCTTTGTGGCATTCCTTGGGGGAGGCTTATGTTCAGCAGTGGACTTGTGAAGGACTGTAATGATGATGATGAATAACTCAAAATCAATATATAATAATTTGAATTCAATGCAAGAGGTTTTGTTCCTTTTATGAAATCTTACTTTTCATTGGGGCCCCCCAACAAATTTTGATACAGGGCCCATCTAAGGCACGCTACGCCACTGCCTGTATCAATGAGAGCATCCACGACTTTTCTGCCACCAGGGCGGTGCCACTAGAAAGTGAGGTATATATTTGACAGATTTCATAGCGGGGAAGTTAATTTGTTTGGAAAATGTAAAATTTATTGTTTCTTTCTACACTATTAGCTATATTTTATATTAATAAGTTTAAAAATAAATAAACCAAACCACAGATATTCCTAAAAGTGGAAAAATGAAATAAAGTAAAATTTTTTTTAACGTGGTAGAGCCATGCTGCAGCTATATTAGTAGTATAGTTGTAGCACGAATGGCTTGGCTCGACCGGGGAAGGACCACGCTCTCACAGAAAACCAGCGTAAAATAGCAGCTTAACTTAGCTTAAGCTTAGCAGCTTACGTATGGTGAGTGTAGAGAACCGGAGACCCTTTTTACTGGCAAAGAGGCATTCCATCTTAGTCCTCACGGGTGACAACGCATCTGCATCTTGAGTCTTTATTGAGGATAGATGTAGATGTCTATGGGTCACAGTAACCACTAACCATCAGGTGGACTGTGAGCTCGTTTGTCACCCTATCCTATAAAAAAAATGTCCAAAAAAATTAAAGAGCAAACCACTGACGCATTGTTTTATTTATTAATTTAATACTCTAGAAACTGACAAACTTTTATTAAAACCAACTTCTCGATTAAATTACATTGTGTAACAAAAAACTTTACCTCAGTGTCGACTAGCGACATCTGGTGAGCAGAAAATTATTATCCCTCGCCCTCATTTTTTCGTAAATTTCGTGTATTTTTTTTAATGTAATTGTCTTTTGAGACTACCTGATATGTTTGACATATGTAACCAAAAGATGTCTTTGTCTTAAAAGGATAGGATTGATGTAGAATATTAATTCTTCTATTGAAATGCTCCAGAAAAGTTATAAAATAATTTGTACCTCAAATATTTTAGAGTAAATAAATAAAAAGTCTCAATTCAGCAGGACTATTCAAAATTAATAGGTCTTATGTACGTTGTTTCCATTTCATAACATTTTTATAATATGCAATTTATAAAACGAAAAGAAATTCGATATCGATCCAGACATCACTACATTTATAATATTAAATTAACCGTTGTGTTATTTTGAACGGGTAGTATCAAAGAGTATAATACATTAGTACCTTAAAAAACTAAGCTAAAACGCAGTGAATACTCTTTGGACAAAGCTGGGTATAAACTTAACTCAACCTTAGTCATTCTATCGAAACACATCTGACAAATTTATTACAAAAATTTAAAAATCGAAACGTCAATCAACTAAACTTATAAATTTTAACTTATCACCAATAATCTATGCTCATCACACCAGACCCCAAAACACCAACCATTTAAATCATCAAGACTCCGGCATGCAGATACTGCAAGAACAGAATCCTTTTATCAATAAGACCAAAAACATGAACGTTAATATATCTATACGGGATGTGTCCTCACATAACTTCGAAGTTAAAGAAAAACAGTCTTCAGATGCCTCCTTGCGGTTGATGCATCCGGTAGCTAGCGGAGACAATGTGGCCACAGATCTGAACGCCAGTCAAAAATTTAAAGAGGAGTTGCCTACACTCGTACCTTGTTGTGAGGGCAAAGAATTGCAGGTAAGGGGGCAATGATTATTTGTACACAACATAATAAATATATTTTATTAATTTTGAGTGAACAGATAGGCTTGCAGTTCATTTAATTGTTTATGATCACCTACATTTATGCATACATGAACCCAGCTCCAGGCAAAAAGGTAATGTTTGTGACCCTTACAAACCACACTTGAATGTACTTTACGAACTTAGTTACACGACGAACTTTTGGGAGAGCAATCTCGGGCTTCCGCTGCGAAATAAAATCAGTAACGTGGATATTCGCAGCTAAACCAGAATAGCTAATATAGTCACAAGGAATTTTTAAAGCAAAGTGGCAAAGTTCGACTCAACACGACAACAATGGAAAAGAAAGAGTACCGAACTGTACCTGCAAGTGCGGTATAGAGCGACCAATCTAGATAGATTCTCACGTGGTAGAGCCATGCTGCAGCTGTATTAGTAGTATAGTTGTAGCACGAATGGGTCGGCTCGACCGGGGAAGGACCGCGCTCTCACAGAATACCAGCGTAAAATAGCGGCCTAACGCTGCTGTGTTTCGTATGGTGAGTGTAGAGAACCGGAGACCCTTTTTACTGGAAAAGAGGCATTCCATCTTAGTCCTCACAGGTGACAACGCATCTGTATTTTGATTTGTAATAGAGGATAGATGTAGATGTCTATGGGCCGCAGCAACCACTTACCATCAGGTGGACTGTGTGCTCGTTTGTCACCCGTATACTATAAAAAAAAAAATTATACGAGGTAGAGCCACGCTACATTCGTTATATTGTTTGTTCTACAAATGGATTGGCTCGACCGGGGAAGAACCACGCACTTCAGGATACCAGCGTGAATACCTAAATGTTGCTGTGTCTTGTATGCTGGGTGTGGAGAACCGGAGAACCTTTTACTGGAAACGAGGCATTCCGTCTCGGACCTCAGGGATGACAACGCATCTGCATTTTGATTCTTAATTGAGGATAAATGTAGATGTTTATGGGCATCCATCAGGTGGATTGTGTACTCGGTGCTCGTTTCTGTTACCCTGAATAAATGAAAAAAATCGACGACCTAATGATGCATTCAGGGATAGTTGTTAGGGACTTAAGTCAGTTATGTTTCACAAGAAGGAGTATCTAATAATATTATTCTAGGTACTTAAGTACACCGTAATAATAGTGCGGCCTTGAGTGGCTTAATTACCTAATGCCAAATCCCAATGTAAGTTGAAATCTACGGCGAGTTACAGCACCTGACATTGCGATTAAAACCAGCTGGTACGACAATTGCGTGAAATTGTCCAAACTTAGCAACGTCTTAGTAATTACATATTCGTTTGCTTATATCAACTAAAAGGTTTAGAAGTTAACTGTCAAGTTTAACAAGAGCCAAAATTTTAAACATATTCCTTTTTGTTACGTTTTAATCAGGAACGTTAAAGTTAAAGTTACTTTAAAAAAACTTGACAATGTTTTCGAATTTCCAAACATTCAACCAAAATCACTTAACAAGTAAAACCAATAGACTTCTTTTCACGTCACGATCGAACACATAAAATTAATCAAAATCGGTTGTTATAGAACATTCTAGTGGTCCGATAAAACCACACCCGCATCACATCAATCAGTCAGTCTGAATTCTTTTCTGTCAGTATATTCTGGCGCCCACTTTCAGTTCGGTTTCAATCTATCCGTATGTCGAAAGTAATGAATAATGCACTAAATTGAATAATGGCCAAGGAAAAAAAAAGAGTCTACAATATAATAATAATAAATATAAATAAAATTAGAAGGCGCTGACGAAATACCCAAGCAAAAGAAAAAACATCTAAAATCGTGACGACTTTAAGAGGCGTAAAAATTGTTTTTCGCCTTATAATAGTTATACGTTATCTCCATTCTTCACTAAAGATATTTTTCTTTCTTTTATGGTTAACAGCTTAAGATTATTTACTACTCAAGAAGAATATAATTGAAATGCGGGGTTTAAATGCAGGGTAAATTTCTTTCCAATTTTTCTGAAGGCAATGCAAGGCTACATTGAAAAATCATAATGACGTTCTGCCTTAATAGGTGTAGCGCACCTCTAACGTTCTGTCTTTAGCACTAACCATCAGAATTACATTAATATATCAAAAGGAGACAGAGATTGTATGTTCGTGTTGTAGGTCTGGAATTACAGGACTGCCTCAGTGGTCTGGTGGTTGTAAGCATGATTGCTTATGTGGTCCCGGGTTCGAATCCCTAGTCAGGCCAAAAACAGTTATTGAGTTTTTCTGTAAAGAAATTCTCAGTATCAGCCCGGAGTCAGAAAGTTGGCGTTGTTTTACCCCCGTGTCTCGGAAAGCACGTAAAGCCGGTGGTCCTGCGCCTGATGTCTCTGGTTGTGTCAGATTGACGTCCCATCGGATAATTTGAGATAAATAGGTAGCGCACCTTTACTTGCGTTCACACTGGTGCCCTACAATCCTATCCTACGCAGATCGCTAGTTCCCGTTGGCCGGACTAATAGAAATTTGGTCTTGAGGACATTACTAGAATGTGGGTATAAATGGTTTTTTAACAACCGTCATTATGTATTATTCTTACCAAAATCATGTTAAGCATTAAAAGATGTTTTCAAAAATACCTATCTTAAACCTACACTTCGAATCAACTTAAGATAAATCAAGATTTGGTACGAAGTGGACTTTCGGCAATCTCCATGAAACATGAAAACGTTATCCATTGTCTGAGCATGTCGCAGACGTCCGAGAGAACACAGATGCATCCACCGGGACTGGTAAAGGTAACGAATATTTTTGAAACGGATAGTGCAAGCATAATATTATTTTATTGATTTTCTCAAAAATATTGCATAATACATAATAGATATTATATTATAGTAGGTGGTAGAGTTCCTTTTCTGCCTTAGTGTCCGTCTGAGTAGGTAATAGCCAAATAGCAGTGATTACCTGATGTGTCTGAAGAGGGCATAGAGAGCCACTCATAGTTATAGTATAGAGAGCCACTCATAGTTATAGTATAGAGAGCCACTCATAGTTATGGTATTGAGAGCCACTCACAGTTATGGTATAGAGAACCACTCATAGTTATGGTATAGAGAACCACTCATAGTTATAGTATAGAGAGCCACTCATAGTTATAGTATAGAGAGCCACTCATAGTTATGGTATAGAGAGCCACTCATAGTTATGGTATAGAGAGCCACTCATATTTATGGTATAGAGAGCTACTCATAGTTATGGTATAGAGAGCCACTCATAGTTATGGTATAGAGAGCCACTCATATTTATGGTATAGAGAGCCACTCATAATTATAGTATAGTGTAGTATAGTAGGCTGTGGGGCATTACATCTTAGTCCTCATATGTGACAACGCATTTGTAGCCTTTTTGTTTGAAGTTGGCTACAGGTGTACATGGACTGTAGAATCCACTTACCATCAGGTGATCTGTAAGTACGCTTGTCATATCTTTTTTATAAAAAAAAAATATATTAATTTGGAATCCATATCTCCATTGGGTGCTAAATTATGTACAGTTGTCGTTTCGGTCGGGATCGACCAGGAGAATGTTACACAATCCACGAAAGACAATGTGCTTAAAACAGCTTTAAATTTTCAGAAATTGTTCCCTACGAAGACGTTACATACTGTGTATTGTATATTGTATACTGTTGTATATTAATATCTACGTCGGCTTTCTACAGCACCGAAACTCGTTCCGTTCACTTCATCGTCCGGACCTTAAACGGGTACCTTACCTTCGACGAATGACTCCTGACGAGTTGGAAATGCTGTTCCGTGGCTATGCTGATCTACCTACCAATGGATCTGCTATAACTGGTACGATCGTTCTATATTAATGGTTAATAAAATAAAATTTATGCCGCAGAAGTGAGTGGCAGAGTCTGCAAGCGACGCTCTAAATGAAAGTTTATCTACCAACTTGGCGTTTTATTACAGACTAGCTATGCCCCGCGACTTCGTCCGCGTGATCTTTGTTTACGATTGGATTTCATGGGTTTTAATTTTTTTGGGCGGAACTCTAATGCTATTTCTAAAATAAAATTAAGTCTAAGTTACTTCAAATCAATAAAGTTACTACAAAGAAAGTCCCGTCAAAATCGGTCCTTCCGTTTCGGAGATTAGCCGGAACAAACAGACAGACAGACAAACAAAAATTTTTAAAATTGCTTTTTTACTATGAGTGCCGTATATACATTCATATGCATTCAGTAAAAAGCTGTTTTTTGATATTACAAACAGACACTTCAATTTTATTTATTTGTATTGATATAGATATAGATTAACCAAATTAAGTATACCCTTAACCGGCGAGGATATATGCTTAGTTATATAAATGTATGAAGAGAGAAAGGCGAGTATGAAGAGAGAAAGGTGAGTATGAAGAGAGAAAGGTGAGTATGAATAGAGAAAGATGAGTCACAATCATGCCAAATGGAAGTCCATAGTCTCTACTTATCTCTTTGGGTGGCAAGCATGACATGACAGTTTATAATTAATAGAATCAGGCGTTACTTTGCGCAAGTTCATTAAATTAAAGATGTTAAAAATAAATTTCCCAGGATCTGCGTAGTGAAATAAAATGTGTCTTACCTAGTTTGAAGAGCGTTCCCTCAATTGCGTGCACTGTACCCGTCACGTTAGCGGTCAGCCACCGCAGAGTCTACTTCAAATGAGGCTTCCTCGTGTAGAGGCGGAACACGTGTCGTATTATCGACGGTGATGTGTAAGAGGCGACAGAGGAAAACTGAAACTCGCTTGGATTGGGATATATTTAACTTGATAATAATTAAAATAAGACTATCAATAGTTCATTTCTTGCAGGCAATAGCACGCTTTGTACAGTATCGGACGTTCGTCCTACCACAGACGAAATTCCAGTCGGCATGCGTCTGCATGGTGCACGTGCGAGACTATACACGTCCGTTCTGGCTGGTGCCAAGGCCGGGGATCAACCTGAGTAACATATTCTTTTAACTACATCTTACAATAGAAATAATAAGCCTCATAATATGTTTATACTTATGTCCGTAATGATTTTCACTAGACGATTAATTATTAGTAACTAATAAATCGATTTTTTTATAGAAGAGGTAAACAAGCATGCGACTCACCTGATGGTAAGTGTCGATCGCCGCCCATGAACAACCGCAATGCCAGGGCAATTGCAGGTGCGTTGCCGGCCTTTTAAAAAGGAGTAGGTAAGGTCGTTTCTTGAAGGTCCCTAAGTCGTATCGATCCGAAAAAATCGCCGGTAGTAAACAACTCGCACAGTAATGGACCGCCAAGCAATCCGATGACATGGATGGTAACGTGAGCTTTGTCGTGATGTGTGTTGGTGAAATTAGGCGACCGGAGTTAATCCAAACGATTCCTCAGAGCACTCCCTGTGGTAACTGCGATAGAAAATGCAGAGATGCAACATTTCTTAGCAGCTCCAGTGAATCGAGCCGATCAGAGAAAACTCGGTTGTCGATGATTTGAGCCGCTCTGCGCTGGATGTGGTCAAATAGAAGGAGCTGACATTGGGCAATGGCTCCCCAATTGAGGTCAACCTACGCCTTATATAGTTGCAAGTGGTGTGCCGGCATGAAATACTGTCCCGCTCTACTGAGCGCACCAAGCTTTTTAGAGGCTAATTTAGCCTTTCCTTCCAAGTAACCATGAAACTGTACAACATTCGATATGAAATTGAGGAGATATAACGCAAACTTGTGTCTCCTGGGGATTAAACTGGAATAGATTTAGTTGCCCCCAATCCGAGATTTTTTCAACAAATACTGGACTTCAGACACAAGTTTATTCCGGTACTCGGAGAGAAATATTGGCACGGCCTGAGTATAAAGCATTACTAGAGCTGTCGTCCGATATGCAATGAATGTTACTGATTTGCAACATATCATTGATATGCAGAAGAAACAGCGTACGTGATAGCATCTTGAAGGTACGGGAATCTGTCTCCCACATTGTGATCTACCACATGACAAAATCGAAAACATCGAGAACAGATGTCCTCTCTGATGTATACGCAAACTCCCGCCCGAGGCACAAAGGAGTGTTCTAATTTGTACCCCGGGTATGAGAGATGAAGTATGAGTCGGAGAGGGCACCTGCGTCTCGGTTAGAAAGAGCAAGACCAGCTTTGCCGTCTCCAGATGGTAGTGTAGTGGTAGTGGACAGTATTAAGTTTCGACTTAAGTCCCCAGCAAGGGATTCTCCAATACCAGGTCTGATGGTACCCTCCTGATTATACCTCCAGACACCTGCACTTACCAGGCGAAACGCAGAATTAAACTTCTACCATACGCTGGTATTCTGTGAGATTGTATTACCGTGGCTGCGTGGCTCTACCATTGTTAAATGTATCGATATACCGAGATAATGGACGATGTTCTTAATATAACCCTCTGCCCCATTCCCTAGGTGTCGTAAGAGGCCGTGGTAAACGTGGTAGAGCCATGCTGCAGCTATATTAGTAGTATAGTTGTAGCACGAATGGGTCGGCTCGACCGGGGAAGGACCACGCTCTCACAGAAAACCAGCGTAAAATAGCAGCTTAACGCTGCTGTGTTTCGTATAGTGAGTGTAGAGAACCGGAGACCCTTTTTACTGGCAAAGAGGCATTCCATCTTAGTCCTCACGGGTGACAACGCATCTGCATCTTGAGTCTTTATTGAGGATAGATGTAGATGTCTATGGGTTACATTAACCACTTACCATCAGGTGGACTGTGTGCTCGTATGTCACCCGATCCTATTAAAAAAAAGGCAACAGAGGGAAATAGGTGATGAGCAACAGCGTCTTCCTGATAACATTTCAAAATAATAAAAAGTGCGGTTGCCAATTCGCTTGCTAAGCGCGGCAACAATGACTCTCGCATAATCTATGCGAGAGTCCTGTGTTTAGACATCAGTGGGCTTTAATGGAATTTGTTTACATTCATAACCGAAAGATAATTTATTTCAATTCACCTTAACAATTCATAAAATAAGAAATCTTTCGCTTACTTTTAAGTAAGAGGTGCTGAAAAGTAAAATTTTAAATAAAATTAGCCTAGTTTTATATTATGATACAATCAATTGTACACTGTCCAATCCATCTAGGATTTTTTTATCGCAATAGCTTTTTTTATAGGATAGGGTGACAAACGAGCACACAGTCCACCTGATGATAAGTGGTTGCTGTGGCCCATAGACATCTACATCTATCCTCAATTGCGAATCAAAATGCAGATGCGTTGTCACCCGTGAGGACTAAGATGGAACGCCTCTTTTCCAGTAAAAAGGGTCTCTCCGGTTCTCTACACTCACCATACGAAACACAACAGTATTAAGCTGCTATTTTACGCTGGCATTCTGTGAGAGCGTGGTCCTTCCCCGGTCGAGCCGACCCATTCGTGCTACAACTATACTACTAATATAGTTGCAGCATGGCTCTACCACGTATATATAGCTTTTCCAGCAAAGTAGATGAATCTAGATAGGCAATAGTGTTACCAGTAAAACCTGACAGAAATTAGTTTTCCTCCCTTTTCAACGACGTCGATATTTCTCAGACATATAGCATAATATACTGAATTCCCTTACGTCGATACGTCAAGGGCAGCATATACTTCAGTTAAGGCTAGTTAAGTTGTTTAAAAAGTCTTATTTTTTCAGCAACACATCGAATGCAGAAGAGTACGACACCACTGTTCCCGAAATAGCAGTACCTGAAGATGAAGTACAATTGAACGAGGAATTACAAATCATTCTACCTCCGCGCTGTGACGATACTGTCGAATCTACAACCACCACCTCCTCAGAAAACAACGCAAATTAGGACTCATCGACAAACGTTTAAAGGCTTTTCTTCGGCGAATTGTTACATAAGACTAAACGGCGGCACAGCCAAAAACTATATTGAAACGTAATGCTACTGCGCCTACAGAAAACCTTTCAACGAAGAATAAGAAAATGAGGCTCGAGTTTTCTACGAAGTAATTAAACGTATTAGTTTAATTCAATATCTAGGAAGAAATAAAAAATTAAAACATATCCGTTCTATAACTGATTATACAATATACATATAATATTAAAACGACTTTTTTAATATTAAAGTTGTTTGATTTTTATGAACATCTGCGTTGTCACCTCTGAGAGCTCTTAGATAGATCGCCTCACAGCCTGTTAATTTACTGACGCTCTATACCCTTCAGACTGTACACACTGCTGCTTAGCAACTTAAATTGGTAAGAGTGTAATAACTACCTGATGATCTTCTAGGCAGAAAAGTAGTCCGAGTAGACTGGGAAAACTTTATCTTTAGTCCTCAGCGATGACTACCAGCTATTTACCAGCAGGTGGACTGTTAGCTCATTGTCACTCTAAATTGAAAAAAAAAGTAATTTCGACCGTAATTTCGAGGAAAAATCTGCATGTCTGAGAAACAAAAATAAAAAATTTTTCGAAGGCATGTGAAGTACGCCAACACGAATTGGAGCAGTGCGGCGGACATTTCCTTGTCCTAAAACCCTCTCAGAAATGAGAGAAGGCCTGTGCCCAGCAGGGGGACGTATATAGGCTGTTACTTTTACAGTTACCCTTATCGTCATATACTTAGAATATACTGACGCCTAAGTTTATGGTCACCGTTACAACCTATTATGTAGCGTCCACTGCTGAACATAGCACAGAACCTCCCCCATAGATTGCCTCATAGGGGGCTATTTGCCATAGTTGTCACGCTTGGAAAGCGAAAGACAGCGACAGCCCATGTCTTGTTGTTTCCATTTGTTTCCCTCTGTCGCCCCTTAGTAGTGGATATTCTTATATCGGCAGTACACTGTGTCTTATAAAATTATTTTTTATCAATACACCAAGGCATTTAATTCCACCTAGTAAATTTGATGATTTTACATATTTGAGACCACATAATCTATACAAATAAATAAAATTGAAGGGTTATTCCATTTATCTACCTTAAAAAATCCACCCTAGGGTGCCAGTATTCACAGTTTGCACGTGTCCGTTTATCCACCCTAGACGGGGTGGATAGTCGGAATTCACGTTTTGATTGTTGTTCCGCCTTTCCACCCCAAGTACAGTTCAACAGGAAACATATTCGTACTTTTAATATATTATTGATTAATTATTAGTAACAACATATACTTAAACAAAAGTCATATTACGTATTGCATTAAACTTCCTCGTTTTAAATAGTAATAAGTAATTTATAAATTCTGCAATTTATCCAGGAAATGACCAACACTAATTTCATAATTGTTGAAATCTCATAAAGATTTTCTAGTTCCTCCTTTGTCCTTAAAAAATCAATAATTATTCCGATTCACAAGAGTGGGAACAGAGACTGTCTCTAATTACAGGCGAATATCAATATTATCCTCAGTATCCAAAATATTCTAAAAAAATCTTAATATCCTTAATTCTTAATTAATAAAGGTAGTAGAGGATCGTAGTGTCATAAAAATATATTTTAGGATCTCTACATTGGTGGATTGAAAAGTAGAAATGAAATAGGCATGGATCCACATGTGGAGTATGAGTGTGGATCCAAGGTGCATATTTAACAGACTACAGAACCGTATTATTTTAAATAATGCAATGTAGAAATGTCTCTATTTTCATCAAGAAAATACAATAACATGGTGGCGGCGCTGTCGAAAATACATCAAAGCCTAAATCGAGCAATCAAAGTTCCGAAGTAAAATCTATATATATATACTAGCTCCAAACTACCACTTGGAGCGTTGGCCGCTCCCCGGGCAGATTATTTTTCGACCAATAGTCTTCTATGCCGTCCTCCATGAAGTCCCACGCTGCAGGAGGCCTCTGTCACTCGTGTTACCTGTGTGAAATAATTACCTGGCGAGGCGCCCCGGACTACATACGCAGTCAGAACTAACGCGTTCTAGGCGATTGAATGTTAAAAGATTTTAACGCTGTTTACGTAAATTTAATTGTAGAATAAAATAGTTGAAAAAGTTTTAATTTAAATAAATAAATATATATATATATATATATATATATATATATATATATATATATATATATATATATGTATATTACCTATCTATTTGATAAATTATAATGGCAAAACGTCGTTCCTACTAAAATTGTGGATAGATGCTCAGTAAACAAACAAAAGGATTCAGAATAGGTATTTCAACTAAGTAACTTACTGACCTTTCCGCAATATATTTTTTTAATCTTTATTGACAGCTCTTAGTAACCACGGAAAGTCCGCCGTGACGTAGGAATGAAAAAAAAGGAAAGTAATACGAACAACTGCGCGCAGAGATAAAGTTTTATTTAGCTTGCGTGCGCGATTTATGTATCTAATTAATAATAATTATGTAGGCTATTAAAACGTCGGCAACCAGTCAACATGAAAGGAGTGCAACTTCTGTACGTAGTTCTTTTATTTATTCTGTGACCGCAGTGACTGCGTCTTGGTGGAATTGGAGCGTATCCCTGCCATGTATTGACCATCTCTCAGCCCGATGGAGTATCTTTAAGATGCGGTGAAATGAAGAGTTTGGACAAAAGATGCAACTCTTTCGAACCTACAAGAACTACAAACTGCGATTAAAGACGAAAAGGAAAACCGTGTACACGACCGTTATTATCTATGACCAGAATTCAGAGACAATCTCGACTTTAACCTCGAACTTCACACGGTCTAAATCTGCTAAATATACAGTATCTAACTACAGTAACATCGTAACATGTATGTTGTAGAGCGAGTGGCTCTGAGCGAGTGCAGCTATATTATGGTTGTAGCACAGAATAAATAATAGTTAAAAGAACAGAAGGATCACTCTCTGATAGCAAACTTGAGAGTTTAAACTTAGTTACAACATTGCTAATGTTCAGAATATTCTGCACGCCTCGGAAGTGACCTTCGTGAAATTAGCCTACCGTTTATTTCGTCGAAAAAATAATTATGTTGCGCGCGTATAAAATCAAAATGCACCTTAAATCCGCGCGCGAGTGTCTGTATCATTTAGCCCGTTACGCACCTTTGTTAAGACCGCTTCAACTGTAGGGTTAGGTATTGTGAGAAAACAAATTTATTAGTTGGTATATAGTGTATTCTACACAAAGGTGTTATGAAATGTAATAGTATTTATTTTAATTTTGTTTAAATAAAACGGTACACCCACACTAGGATTTTCTCCTGTATCGTGGAGGCAGTTGACAAATATAAATTGCACAAGGACAAACATCTAGACCCGGAACAATTATTTGTAGGCCATACAAATACTTGTTCCGTCCGGGATTCAAACCCGCGGCCCTTAGAGCTGCAACTCATTACTAAGCCACTGCGCCACGGAGCCGTCACTTGTATGTTTCACATTTTTTGATATTTACAAACATGCGACATGCGACTTCATTATTAATGAATGAGTGGCAATGAGAAGTGCTGCTACTTTCAATCTCTTTCTTTTATCGACCAAGTATTAAACTAATAACCAGTATATGCTGATCTTGCATTAGTAGGCAGTCACTGATACGTCAAGCGATGGAGTATTTCATGCCCTTTGCTGACGTGCCCACTGGTGGTAAAGCTCGGCCATGGTTTAACGCAGAGTTTCAGCGTACGGCTTATCCCTGGCCTGATTGCCTGGCTGAAGAACTTTTTGAGTGAACGATCTCTCCGGGTCGTCGTAGATGACTGCTCATCCGATACTGTCTTGCAAAGGTGCGGCGGTACTTCACGCTGGGGCAGCTTACCTTATATAAAGCGCAACTCCGGTCGTGCATGGAGTACTGCTGTCACATATGGGTTGGTGCTGCAAAATGCCACCTGGCAGCATTGGACTCAGTGGAGAGACGTGCTAGGAGGCTCATTGGTGACCTTGATTTGGTTGAAACCAATCTTGTCAGCCTCGAGCACAGGCGCAGAGTAGCCAGTCTCTCGGTATTCTATAGGATGCATTTCGGTGAGTGTGCGCAGGAATTCCACGCTTTAATTCCTCCCTCTCCTTTCCCCCATCGGACGACCAGGCGGTCGGCGGGTCTTCATCCCTTTGTTGTCGATATTCCACGCATTAGAAGCAAACAGTTTTCTTCGTCCTTTGTAATGCGTACAGCAAAGGAGTGGAATAATTTGCCGGCGTCCATCTTTCCGTCCGAATACAATCTGGGCGTCTTCAAGGCAGGAGTGAATAGGCTTTTGTTACGATAAGACAGTGCGATTTACCATCAAAGTCTACATCACCACTTACCACCAGGTGGGATTGTGGTCAAGCACTGGCTTATAATAAGTAAAAAAAAAATTTGTACAGAATTTTTAAGGTCATTGGCATTATACGCGAAAAACTCGAAAACTGCGAAGCTGTGGTCGGGTCACTAATCAAATAATAAATCTGTAACTAGGACGTCAGTAACGAAGTACCTATAATATAATACCATGTATATCTAATAAATAATAATATATTAACTTGAGATATCCTTAGGAACAGTAAAGAATAAAAAGTCTACATTCCTATTGTTATTTAAGCACCCGTATGTTATGCAGTACCTTTAGGCTTTTTGAGAGGCCATACTTGAATAAAAACTCAAAAATAAAAATCAAGTGCCTAAATATTTATTAGAGAAAAATTATTTTGATGTTAACGTAAGGCGCGCGTCAGCTCGAGCGGGCGCGCATTGACAACCTCATGGAATTGACCTCATGTAGACGGGCTATTGTGGGTATGTTTTCGTGCCTAAAGCGCGGAGTGAGACAGGCCTGGTTGTAGCACGAATGGGTCGGCTCGACCGGGGTAGCACCACGCTCTCACAGAGTATAGAAAACCGGTGACCCTTTTTACTGGAAACGAGCCACTCCATCAAAGTTTTAGTGTAGTTTTATTTATATATGTATAGAAAATACATTCATTAACAATTTTGAAAACATAAAAATGAAAAAAAAAAACAAGCAAAACTTGTCCATGTTTTTCCTCGAAATATTTACCTAAAATATACGTCAGATGAGTTTATTTCATTCTTCAATTTAATAATCGTTATTTCAAAGCCGTTAAAGATAAGACATTATACTAAAGTAAAACAGATGTAAATTAAATAAATAATCAAAAAGTATACTGTATTTTACTGTTTGTTGAAAGCCTTAGGTAACAACGGAATATCGTCCGTGACGTATGAAGGAGAAAAGATGAAAGAAAAAATACAGATTCTCGCGCGCGGCGATAAAGTTTAATTTAGCTTGCGTGCAGGATATTAAAATGTCGGCTGTGACTACTTTTAACATCAAAAAGTGCAACTTCTGTCCATAGTACTATTGTCATAGTGCAACGTCGCGGCGATGTGTAAGTAGAACTTTAGTTCTATTAGCAATTTTCTCTGTAATTAACTTAATTTATTGTTATTGGCAAAAAGAAAAATTGAGGGCCTGACTAAAACATATTTACTTAATAATATTCCTAAAGAAAGAAAACAATTATAAATGGTGTGAATTTATATTGAATAACTTTGCCACAATAATATTACATCAGATCCGAACTCACTAATACATCCTGGAATAGTACAAATATAACAAAATTTAAATCAAACAACTTATATCAACACATTCTTAGGTCACAAACGCTGCATGATTATCATGTATTTTAATTGCACTTTGAACAATTTCTTGGTACTTAAATTCTTTATTATATGGATAGGTTATACCTTAATACTATTCATAATAAGCTAAATTTGATTTCATAAGAACATTAGCGATGTAAGCAGTTGCTTATAATTGTAAACAAACATAGCACGGTGTTTACATTTTATTAGGAATTATAGTGCAACACTAGCATCACTAAGGCTCAAGTGAATGGGATCTTGACCGGAATCGAAGACATTCTCAAGTTTAATCTCTTTGCAATGTCAAAATTTAAGCCTAGAATGTTACACAAATTTTGGTATTGTGAATATTGAGGTTGAACTCGAAATTATCTCGTGAGCTTTATTATTACTTTTTGTTATGTTATAACAAATCAATTTTAGGGTAACAAAATAAGTTTATTATATTACTATAACTGGGTAGTTGACACCATCATTAATAAAAAAAAAACAGAGGCAGTCATAAGGACCGCCGATAGAAGTGAAATCTGAATGATATGCGTATACATGTACGCAAGCCGCTGTACTACGCGTCGCTAGTCTGGCTAGAGCCAGATTAGCAGCGCCTAGTACATACTTCACGAGCATGTCGAGGTCATCGGTGACGCGAATCCATAAGTTTTTCCCCTACCGAAAATCGCTCAACGCGGCTAAAGAAGTTTTAACTTCAAAAATTCTAATAAAATTTTTGAATTTGCTACATTTAGCTATATCTAAAACATGGTCACTTTTTTATTTTAGGAAAAGTTAGGTTTTTATCCTTAAAAACTTTACTTATATACAAATATGATGACTGTTTGATTGAACTTGCAAACCACAGAAAAATATTGAATAAAACACATGAAAAATATGACGTCATAAAATTTATTTTCATATAATTTTTTATAGCAACCAGACTATAATATAATCACAGCTCAAAAAATTATTTCAATTAGTATTGGTGTTAAGTACCCAATTAATTTTGTCTGGATATAGACTATCATTATTTTGTTGTAGTAATGGTATGAATGTATGGCAGAACTTTAAAAAAATATCAATTTTCGTCTGTAGTTCTTTCGATGAACACTCAATGTAATGCAAAAAAATTTAATTTGATCTTCGGCAATTTTTTTCATAGCATAAGTGCTTATAATGCTATTAACATTCATACTTCTGTTAACCACTCCAAGTAATCTTTAAATGTTTTTAAACGTATTTAGTAATACCTACAAATATTACTGTTACCGGACTTTTAATTATTTTTCATTTACCCTAATCTAATCCTATGGTTACGTGCGCTTTGACGGAGATCCGTGGCCTATGGTCGAACATGCCCGAATGGATATAAATGTAAATGTTATTTACCGTTACCATTACAGCCTATTAAAGTTCACTGCTGAACATAGGCCTCCCTCATAGTTGCCACGCTTGGCAAGCGAGATGGCAATAGAGTTCAGCGTATACTTATTTAAAATTTCTTTGTATTAAAGTTTTTTGTTTCACTAATATTCCATTAAAATAGCCATATTCCTTTAGTCATCGTTACTGTCCTTCACAAGTTCACTGCTGAACCTAGGCCTCCCCCAAGGAATGCCACAAAACGCGGTCCTAAGCCACCTGAATCCAACGATCAGGTCATCACTCAGCTTTCTTAATATGAAGTGTACGACTACTGGTATTACAGTCCTTAACTACCTGTTTACTAGTCTATGTCTGTGTGTTTACTAGGGTTGATAACAAAGATCTGCACTACGAAATATTTATATTACCAACATTATAGTGATGATGTCATTAACCATCGGACTCCACTGACGGTGAAGTTTATGGGCCAATATATGCTAAATGACGGTTAACATGAGGTTAGTATACATTTACTATAGTGGCATTTGTATTGTATAGTACTGTTTAATTATATTATTATATTATGGTAAGATGATTTAATTTTTCATATCTGCATACCTGTCACTACTTCTGTGTATTGGTTAAAAGGTATTCTTGCTGCAAAATAAGAGACTCCATTGCCTCACTGTAATAAAAAGCCTCCCTACTTTTATTTAAAAAAGTGCTTGTAAAAAACAAACCTAAGTTCCTCATTTACCTAAACGGAGTGCATTTATATAAATCAAAATGGTAAGTAAGCACCATTGAAGTTCCTATCTTACATTAACACGAGGTATTTTTTAATTATAAATATCTATTATTTTTTTTAGTTTTTCTTTATTTAAATTAAGTAATTGAGCTATGCTCTTGGATGGTAATTTTTATAATACAAGTTTTATCGAGAGTCCACGGTAATTATAATTATCTTTTAATTTCTATCAATTTCATCTTCAATTAATAATTTTTATTTCTTAAAAAAAATACTATAATATTATATTTTATTGTTTTTTAACCCCCGACGAAAACATAGAGGTGTTATAAGTTTGTATTAGTAAGTAGCTCCTGAACGGATGAATCCGAATTTGATTTAGTTTTTTTTTCGTTTGAAAGGTCTTAATGGAGTGTTCTTAGCTGTTTCAAGAAAATCTGTTCTGTCGTTTAAAGATTATCAGCTCGTTATGTTTCAAGGTTATATAAAAATTTTAAGTGAATTTTTTCATTTTTTAGGGTTCCATAACTTTTTTAAATATAGTGTACAGACTTTTTATTACTGAAAACTAATTTTCTTGTCTTTTTTAATATTTACTGCATATAGATTGCGACAATTATATGTTGCTGACACAGACTTTTACAAAGTGTGTCTATGGTATTACAATTGTGGCTAGACTTTTGAAATAAAATCTAACACTTGTGTTTTAACGGTAGAGAAATTTGTTCTCTTATTATCTGTACATCTAAAACTACCTTACTTCGGAAATATGATAAAAATTAATAAATTTGACTTCTTACATACTCTATACGAAAGTAAATTTGCTTCATGGTGGAATGTATGAATGTGATGAAAAACCATGTATCAAAAGTATAATTGTAATATTTATTATTGAATAAAAAAACAAAAAAGCGTAACAGTTATACATCAAGGTGAATACACGCCGGGGTATATAAAGCTAACAAACACTTCTCTCATTATGACATTAAATCTCTTAAAATGCCATTTCGTAACAAACAATCAACTTTAGCAGCAAACAATCAACTTTAGCAGCAAATATCACCTTTTGTGCAAATTATGTACATAATAAACATGCTCCAATGTGAACTAGTCCTACCACTATTTGCAGAAAAATCAGAAATGGTCCCTATAAAATATTACCTAAATATTATAATTCATAATCCAATCTTAGCATCCACTGTCACATTTAATAGTTCAAAAAAATGTTAATTTAAAAAATTGAACGTTTTTATGTTTAGCGTCACAGCATCATGATTAATAATTGTTGCTCTAAATACAAGGTTATTTTTCAATAACTAGTCAAATTTTAAACATAAGTTCAAATATATAAATAATGGCATACCGTTAATGCAGTTTTTGAAAATACGAGTAAATAAGGCTTCTACTTTTACCCTTAAAAATGTGTGCGGACGCAGTTAAAGTAGTGCATTACCACGGATTTTGAATTTAAAAGATAAAAAGGACACAATGTTTAAGATTTTTTTTAATTAATTTTTCTTCACCATTCGCCTATACTTTTTACATATTCTGGACCTTCTCTGCAAATTTGGCCGGTTATTGCAAAATCGCCCTGTATATCGGTAAAAGAAAACAAACTAATATATGGCACGGGCAAAATATTTGTAGACTCCAACTGAAATGCACAAATCCTTCGCCGCCCTGTTTTTCTATCCGTGAGTACCTTCAGCACAGCAAACGGAAGATTTAAATGAGATAAATTATTATTATTTCATTGTTCAACAATTATTACAAAATATTATTTATTGTGTTGACCACACTGATAATGTCTAATGTCACTTAATTTGACAATTCACTTTTTTTTAATATAGAAGTGAAGCAAACGAGCATGAGGGTTACCTGAAGTTGTATATTTACAAAATTAAAGTACGTACCTGTGTGTTGTGGGACCCGTAGCATTGTTACGTAAATTAAAAGAGTACAGATTACAATAATAACTTTGTTTTAATTATTTTCGTTATCACCCACAGAATGTGTTACAAATCAAGCTATGATACAATTCGCTAAATACGCAGGCGTGCAACTCGTTATTGCTTTTTATGTATACTTTAATAATCAATACACCTTTCACACATCCTCGATTCTTAATTTAATCAATTGATTACTATAATGCTTGAGAAACTTCGAATTTCTTTCTACCTTACTATCATACAAAAAAGGAGGTAAACATTAAATTAATTTTCTTTTATAATACTCATAATATAATACGAATAATAAAAAATCATTTACTCTACGTAATCATTTCCTTTTTAAATAACATAAAAAAATAATAATCAAAATATTTCGTTACAACAAAACTCTATTTTAATTAAATAATGGAATAGACGATTTTTCGTTTTGTGTGACAAATTCACTTGTTTATCTAACTAACAGTTGTAATGTCTCGCACTCGCAAAGTCCAGTGGACGCACCTTCCACATTGTATATGTTAGAGTCAATGTCCAATAAATCCGCACTGGTACACCAGGTTACTATATCCGACGGCATGGGCGCAGCTTACTTAAATTAAATGGCATCCTCATCTGGAAAAAATTAAATTTTGTATTATTTTTTGCAACTATCTCTATATCTCCTCGCCTGGCTGTTATAATATTATTTTCTCAGTATTTTCAAAGAAAGTTTCTTTAAAATTATAGGCTTTTTAAAGTAAATTATTAAATCCTCTTTCTAACAGAATTTATGTCCAAATAATGCCCAGATTTATGCCTTTTAAGCTTATCTGGGAAGTACATACTTATAAACAACGGATTTGCCTGGGAATTACTTTTCTATATTAAAAAAAATTGTAAATTAGAAATATTTCAATTTTGTGTGTGTTTAAATGCCGGACTAAATATATGATTTTTTTAATTGGGGGGTAATATTTCAACTACTCTCCAGGTCATGATTTTCTTATTTAACTAATATTAAATGAACAATACACAAAACTGAAGCTATATATTTAACCACGTTAATCGCAGCTTTCAGACTATTGCCCTTATCGGTACCAAAAATACCAAAACTTAGGAGAATTTCTTATAATTGTTTTGGTTGAAGGTATAATAACAATTTAATTGTAAAATAATTACATTTTTTTTCTTGCATTAATTCGATTTTAGCTTACATTCTTTTTATTTAGACATCATGAACAAGAGAAGGCGGGAAGGATTTTGAGCACAAATCTTGCCAAAATTTTATTGAGCGTCGTAAAAGGCGACAGAGGAAAACTGAGACAGGAGATGCTTGATCGCAAGTCTGACTCGATGGTATTATATAGGCTAAGAGCATTTAGCAATAACAATATAATATCATCATCAATATCAACTAACAGCAACTGAACAGTATACTGCTGAATATAGGTTTCCCCAAGGACTGTTTATTGTATTCATTAACTTTTTACACTCAAACTATTACAAAGCCCCCTGCAGTCTGCTTACTGACCAATATGAGGCTGCCACTCAAGCACCTTTCTTCCCGACCAGTTGTCAGTTTTTAGAGCTATGTAACTGGCATGGGTTATATCAGTTACACCAGTTGAGGATATGGAGAGGATGGAGTAAAACTTTAACAATTTTTTTCTTGTTCTTTTTTTTTAAGGTCGGTTATAAGTTATTCTTTAAGGCTGGCTGTACCTACAATAATTTGTAAGAAATGGCTAAAGAAATATCTTACTGTCTCTCTATGTCTTTGGCTCTCTATCTCTTTCCGTCTCTCTCCCTCTCTCTTTCTTTCTCTTTCTTTATTTTAAAATATAGTATTTAAAAAGTTACCGTGTTAGGGAGCGTGGCGGCGCGGCGCCGCCTACTCCGCAGCTCATAACTTGTGGTTGCTGGTGAGCCACGTGAGCCCCTCGTACAGCCCGTCGCCCGACGTGGCGCATGACGGCTGCACATACCAGTTGCGGTCGCGGATACGCGTCAGCCCGAGCTTCTCCTGTATCTCGTGTGGCTTCATCGCTGCAAAAATAAAAGGATAATCTTTATAAGCATTGCTTGACTTGACAAACGCTAATGAAGGGCAGGCCGGGAATACGCTGCAACAAGTGTTCACATAACCATAGCGTTATTGTTTTGTTTTGTTAATTGTTTTCGATGGTAATATTTAATTTTTTTACAACACGAATTTAACCTGAGTGAAGCCACTCGGGTGAAACCACAGTGACAAACGAACTTACAGTCCACCTGATGGTAAATGACTGCTGCAGTCCATGGACACCAGCAGCCAAGAAGGCTAATGATGCATTGTAACCTCTGAGAATTAAGACGGAATGCCTCACAGCCTACAATAAGTTTTTAGTTATACTGTTAAGACCGGAACAACATAGCACTGCAAGATCTGCTATTTAGCAGTAGAAATGGGTAAGAGAATGAAACCTACCTACTAGGTAAGTTTACTCTACTCTACTCTACTCTACTCTACTATACTACTTCTAGGTGGTACTCTGCTTCGGAGACTATTTAAATTGTAATCGACCCCTTTTACCCATTACCGACGCCAAGCAGCTGTTGTGTAGTTGTTGTGCAACCACTGTTGTGTTCTGGTTTGAAGGGTAATAGAGCTCCTACAATTACGCCTGTGAGGAATTTCGTCTAACTCTTCAGGGATGACAATACGACTGTGGTTTTCTTTATAACATGAAGGTTTCCGCTGTCAATAGACGTGAGTACGCACTCACCAACAGGTTGTTAGCATGTATCTCAAATTAAAGTAAAGTTACAGCCGTTAATACGTCTGGTTATGAAGCTATTAGTCAGCTGCGCTAACACAGTGTGTGTTGGCAGACTTCACATGACCTCAAAATATTATATTTCGTAGACATACAGGTTTCTTTACGATGTTTTCTTTTATCCACTACCTCATAATATCATCCCGTGGGTGTCCTAAGAGGCGACAGAGGGAACAAATCAGGAGATGGGCAGCAGCGTCTTCCTAATTACGACATAAAATAAAAAACTGCGGTTGCCAACCCGCTCGCCAAGCGTGGCAAATATGGAAAATATCTCCCCTGTGAGGCAATTTATGGGGGAGGCATATGTTCAGCAGTGGACTTTAGCAGTGGCTGCTGCCCATCTCCTGGTTTGTTGCCCTCTGTTTCCTCTTACGACACCCACGGAACGACATATCGTACCCATAGGGTAGTGAATATTCTTACACCGCTACTGACCCTGTTATCAATTGAAGCGTAATCAATGGCTAAAATAATTGTTTACCGTCAGGCAAGTCCTGCTTATTGGCGAATATGAGTATGATCGCATCGCGCATCTCGCGATCGTTTATGATCCGGTGCAACTCCTGCCGCGCCTCGTCGATGCGGTCGCGGTCAGCGCAGTCCACGACGAATATCAGACCCTGCGTACCTGAAACGTTGCGAGTAACATACAATTAATAGAAAAAAAAAGAAAAAAAAAAGGACACTTTATCGACACGCTAAAACGATGATTTTCTTTAAACATAAAAGTACTTGCATGTAGAGAGAACTTTTTATTCTACCTTTTTCTACCTACGAAATTGAAAAAGGTTTTCGGAACCTTTTCTAATTATGTAGATCGAATAAGGTCCTTCATACAAATTAAATCTACAAAAGTAAGGCATCAAAACATCCAAAAATGTTTAGTCATGAAGGTTTTGATAGACAGGAAAACCCATGAGACGCGAGTTTAGAATCACGAGCGTGTTGAAAGTCAAAAAAATATTGGAAGTATTTACACAAAAAAATTATATTAAGTTTAAAATTAAATTACTATTATTAATTATTAAATTATTATTAACTGTTTATTATTAGGTGATACATTTTCTACCTAGGAGTCTGTCTGGGTAGGTACCGTCCTCTTACCTATCTCTGAAAATTACAGACAGTGAAGCATTCTACCTTAGTTCTCAGAGGTGGCAACGCATCTGTATCGTTCTTTGTTTGAAGTTGGCTTCAAGTGTTTATGTACTGCGGTAGCCACTTACGATCATGTAGACTGTGTTTGTCACGTGTTTTGTATAAAATCTAAGTTAAAATTACCCACCATTAGTGGGTAATTTTAAGCCATCACATTCCATATAACTAATGACAGGTCGACATGAAAGACTTATAATTTACTTGTTATATTATAGTGAAAACCAGTGTTTGTGTATTTTTAATACATATTTATCTCTTAACTAGCTATCCGCCCCGGTTTCGCACGGGTGATTTATGGATCTCGACAACAGCGCTACCTAGCCGGTACAATTGTGAATCTAAACCATCCAGGCGCCCCACTCAAACATACACACAATATTTCATCAAAATCAGCCGAGTCATTTTCGAGTTTTAGCCAGACTAAAGGACAGCAATTGATTTTTATATAATATAGAGATATATAATATTTAGCCAAAGGGAATTTACCAATTGCTAGGAATACGAGGGCAGCACTGAAAATTTCGGGAATCAAGGAAGTGACACAACATTACTATTTAAAAATGTATTTATTGCTTTTCGAAGTATTCTCCGCGAAATTTGACACCTTTTTCCAATGGAATGGAATTTTACGATGGAACCAATCATTGAAGCAACCATTCCATTCGGAAGTTGGGGTCTCCAAAATGGCCGTTATGTAGGCGTCCACAGCTTCTCTGAAAATATCTGTCCACGCAATTTATTCTTTATTTTAGGGAAAGTATAGAAATTATAGGTTTTGATGGGGCTTCATCACCAAATGCAGAAATCATCCGGTCAACACACTGTTTTTGTGTTAAACCACTTCGAAAGTCATAATAAATCATCGCTCTTGAATTTTCTCGAGTCAATTCCATTTTCTCAACGACTAAACAAGTTTGATAAAACCTTGTGACAAGACCGAGAATCTTTTTATTCGATTTTTAAAACCAAGGAGTTTTCAATTAAAAAGATTTTAATATGAAAGGAAAAGTGGAAGTATTCTATTCCCGATACTTTTAGTGCAGCCCTCGTAGCTTATTTGGTTTGAACTACGCAAAAAGTATTCAAAGCCACACAAAGCAACTTTTGAGATTTTGACTTTTCAAGTTTGAATCAGATTTCACTGGTTATGGTGCGCTTCGATTTCTTTGTGATTTCGCTTTTTATCGAATCCTACTTTCAGGACTTATTCATCATAATATGGATTATTCTACCCTCAAGATTACTCTGGCATATATTTGCTTAATTACGTTAATTAATAATTAAAAAGAAGCTATTCTCACCTGTGTAATAATGCCTCCATAACGGTCGTATCTTGTCCTGCCCCCCAACGTCCCATACATTGAATTTGACATTCTTATACGTGACGGTTTCAACGTTGAAACCGACTGTCGGTATCGTTGTGACTGACTGACCTAATTTTAACTTATATAAAATAGCTGGACGAAACGTGTTAAGGAAATAATGTCAATTTTTAAAACATTATTTTGATAAAGTCAAGAGAAAATAAAATTCTTTCATAGCATTTAATTACTTCAAAGCCACAATAACATGAAATAAGAAACAAATATAATTGTTAGTTGCTTTCATTTAATTAATTAAAAAAATCTTTAGGTCGGTTTAACTTTATTAATATAACTTACGCCGTTCAATCAAAATAAAGAAATTACAACCTGACCGATTATTAATTTAATTAGTTTTTATTTTTAAAAACACAAAAGTTTAATAAGTAATGAAAATATTAACAAGTGTAATTTTTAATTTGTTTATGTTGAATTTTATCATACATATTATGAATAACTTTACACGGGTATAAAAAATCGGCCCTTAGTAATCTCCTTCCATTAACGTAAAGATCACATTTTGATATATCGAAACATTACGATGTTGTATAACAGGAACTTCTTGTAAAGTCACGTATTGACACCTACTATACTCCGCTAAACGCATTATAGTATTATTGTATTCTTTGACCAAAAGAAAGCAACCACTAACGTGTCGACGGCAGTTGGCAACTAATTTATACGTTTATATTTTATTTGTAAAGGATACTAGTCTTTCCGGCAGCATCGAGCCCCAGCATCAATATCCTCATCTCCTTGTTACCGAAGATCTTCGATAGTAGCTTCCCCATCGTGCTGAGCTCACCTCAACCTCTCAACTGGAATGAAAGAAAACAGCATATCAACGCATGCAAAAAAAGTATAATTAATGAAGTGTAACTAAAGACTACACACTCCTATTGGTATAATATACCAATTGACCAATAATATATTATATAACTAACAGTCTTGACTGCAAAACTCGGATCGACCAAAATCAGTTATTTCCGTCAAAAGAAAATTCTCAATTGCAGCCTGGAGTCCGAAAGTCGGCGGTGTTTCACCTCCGTGACTCGGAAAACACGTTAACCCTGCGCCTGATCTTTTTCCGGTCGTGTTGGATTGCTGTCCCATCGGACTATGGAAGTTAACAGCACTAAAATCACCGAAATCGGCACTTTTAACTTTTTTAAATATCACTCCCTATACAATGAACTTTTTCTGTACATATCACATGCATACATATAGACAAATAACACATGATAAATGGTTAAGACCAGAAACAATTATTTTTAGGTCATACAAATAGAAATTTCATGAAGGAATCGAACCCATGACCCCTAGTGCCGCTAATATACGCTTAGCCACTGCACTACGGACCCGTCAAAATCTCAAAATAATTCAAGTTTGTCCTTAAAATAAAAGTAAACAGAAAATAATAACAGAACACATTTAATGTTTAATTTTAATTAAATTCTTAAACGCAACTAGAGTAGTGTAATGTGCTAACAGATCAACCGGTATATGATCCGTAATAGGTAGACAGTTGAAATTTTCACAGAATGTGAAGGGGCTCCCCTACTAGAAACGTGTATTACGATGGTATGGAACCCATTATACGCAGGTCCGACTCGCACTTGGTCGGTTATTTATAAGTTATAACTAATAAATAGAAATACAGACGGAATAACAAAAGGAATGGCATTGCAAAGTTACTCGGTAAAAGTATTTCAGTAAAGGTAAAAGCTTGCGCCATGTTGTAATTATCTTGCTATCTAGCCTACTAGTCTAGTCTAGCTTAATTGTTTTTTTTTTATATCAGGTCCAATTAAGCTTTTATTAATTATGGTTGAAAAACGAGCACTTTCACTCTGAGGTATGAAAAAAATAAATAATATCAAAAACCTTACTACGAAATTATGTACATAATGTTACTATAGAATTAAGTGAATTTCATTACAGCGTTATTAGCATAATCGACGACCGCTTGGTCTATGATAGTGAAAGTCGCAAGTCTCTACTCCGACTCATATCCGAAACCAATATTTGTGCATTTTTATACAAATATTGGCTTCGTGCACGCACATATGAGTTTTTTTTTACACAAATATTGGCGCTGAATATTTAATTAGAAAGTTTTTTGATTTGGTTGTGTTGTGGTTGTTCTCGTATCCGACTCAGTATCCTTGATTACCTCCGAATATATCACATCAGCATAATATCTTTTTTTTTATATATAATAAGGGTGACAAACGAGCACAGTCCACCTGATGGTAAGTGGTTGCTGTGGCCCATAGACATCTACATCTATCCTCGATGAATAATCCAAATGTAGATACGTTGTCACCCGTGAGAACTAAGATGGAATGCCTCGTTTCCAGTAAAACGGGTCTCCGGTTCTCTACACTCACCATACGAAATACAGCAGCGTTAAGCTGTTATTTTATGCTGCTATTCTGTGAGAGCGTGGTCCTTCCCCGGTCGAGCCGACTCATTCGTGCTACCACTATACCAGTAATATTGCTGCAGCATGGCTTTACCACGTAAAAAAGCGGTTGTGAGAAAAAGCCTCTCTGTAAGTGCGTATACTACGGACACTATAATTGTGTCTTCAACGCAATTTGTTTTTTTTTTCAAATCCAAATAGCAAACATCACAGAAATATGTGACAAACGAGCACAGACAATACACTCGATGGTAAGCAGATGCTGTAGCCTGTAAACATCTACATCTATCACCAAATACAAATGAAAATGCTTATGAATAATGTTTATGTGTTAGCAATAATTATTACTTTTAAAAAGAAAAACCGACTCCAAAGAATGTATCCATCGACATCGGTGACGTAAAGAATTATTCGCCCTTAAATCGTGCAGATGCCTTTGCAAAATGAAGAGTTTGTTAATTTTCTTCACATGGCTCCCATCATCAAATCTTGACCAAAGAATTAAATAAATAATTTATAGGGGACGACCCCTTACCCCTTAAGTACAACGTTTCTAACAAAAAAAGAATCATTGAAATCGTACAAATCGGTAAAGAATTATGGCTGAATATTCTTTAAAAAGATTCCGACAATTTGCGAACTTCCTCCTTTTCTAAGGTCGGTTAAAAACCATCTTCAGTTCTCGCTACTCTCCATAAGAAATACAACCACATTATGCTGCTATTTTACGTTGGCATTCTGTGCAAGCGTGATCAAATCTATTTGCAAGTTTTGTGTTTTGTATGATGTTGTGATGCTAAAGAGTGGCAAAGCAAACTTTGCAGAAGTAAATGGCAGAGTCGGCATTTCATTTCAGTCGAAGCATGGGACACCCTAGACGTAAGTTTATCGATCAACTTGGCGATAAATTGATGAGTATGACGAATGGAAATCCGTAGTCTCTGTCCACCCCTCTGGGAGACAGGCGTGTGTTTTTGTATGAATGTGTGTTAAAAGTTTTAAAATCAAAACAGTATAAGCCATCTGTGTGTTTCAGAAAGCCAACAATCGACGCGGATAGTACACGAGTAATACAAATCAAAAATAATTAAACACCGCTAGTAATCAAAATTTTGTATGTAGGTCGGTATTATAAATGTTGGAAATCAAATACTAATCGATATTCATTAAAGTTGGTCCCTACGGGCCGTATCTCGCTTCTACGTGGCTTCATCCACTTTCGAGAATAATTTTCCAGCAGCCGCGAAACTTTCTAATTCGGCTCTGATAAACCTAATACAAGTGGAAATATACCAAGTTACTTTCGAACGTGAGTGAACTTAATTTTAAAGTTCGAAGGAACGAATAAATGATTTCTTACATTTTAGCGAGCGCCAGAACCATGACAGTTTAGGGGATAAGCACTTAGTAAATTGTAGAACGCGAGCAACCCGGGTTCGATCCCAGCCGGTACGAACGAAATAGTTAATTGCAATTTTATGCCTCCTCTACACTACTCGCGAAGTAACTGACGAAGTGCTCGTCGAAGCGGTCGAAGTCGATCGCACTCCGAAGAACATGACTACACACTCGTGCTACTTGGCGAAGAGCTCAGTCGTCTTGAGTCGCCCGCACCCTTAACACGAATAACGTTCAAGAGGCAGCTGCTACATGTATCTAATTGTGTTGAACAGTACGACGTCAATGCGTTAAACATAGATAAATAATTATGTCAAAAGCTACATAACTGGCGTACGCCGATTAGTGCAGTGAGACGCTTCGCGTAACTTCGGGCCACTTCGCGAAGTCTTTTGACTTGGACGAAAAAAACCGACAGCGATCGGAAGTCCCCCGAGGCGAAGCGAGGTTGCACGAAGCGAATCGAGGTAGCTCTACACTATTTCTCCTCGCCCAACTTCGATCTACTTCGCGAGTAGTGTACAGGGGCCATAAGGATCACAGTCCTTAGCCACCCGCCGGTTTCACCAGGAACACTCGAGAACGTTTTCCCCCATCAGTTCTCAGTTTTTCGACTTATATGGTTTGCCCATTGCCATTTCAGTCAAATCCGCTGGGCTTTGTGAGTTCCACTTCCTCTGTGGATATTCTTGTAACAGATTATGCCCTGTTCGTCTGGTATGCGGAAATATAGACACACACACACATAGTACAGAAGTCCTTGAAAAATAATACAATTACACTCTTGAGATTTTAAAAGTTAGTGCAAGTAGTACAAGATGATAAATTTTGTGATAAGAGAAAAGTGTGTGAAGCCCTTAGACGAAAGTTTATCGACTAAATTGGCGATATATTGAAAAAATGGGCCAGATTACGAGTACCCTTAACCGACGAGCGTGTATGCGTAGATATATGGATATAAAGAAGGTGAGAGAGGTGTGTCAGAATCGTGCCAAATGGAAGTCCGTAGTCTCTGCCTAACCCTCTGGGTGACAGGCGTGAGTGTTTATGTTTGATTTTATAACCTATGTAGAAATTGGGACTTCCATAAATTGTTACAACAAACATACTAATGGGAACTTAATTAGTAATTGAAGTCCGGTAAATATGCAAGTGATGCTTAACGTTAGTACAAGTCTCGGCGACGTCTTTACGTCTTTTAATTAACATACAGAAATTATGCGCTGGCATAAATTCTGTAGGCACGAGGTAGCTTAAATTATATGGGTAATTAAATTACATAGTGTAATTAAATTACATGTCTGGCATTGCTTACATGCTGTAGCCCGGTTGCACTCCTACTGTAAAATTTAGGGCCGACGAGCGCTTACACTTAGTGGTAGCACCACGGCTCTTTTGTGATGTATATTAGTAATAAATAATACTAAATATTGAAGAAGCTATTTTCAAAAGTAAAGTAGGTTTACGTAAACGTCGTACAAGCGTTAAATATTTAACTTACGAGATAACAATCAATGAAAGCAGCAAATAACTCACGAACCTTGACTTCTGGAATAAATTATTTAATGGAAGCGGTATGGTGTTACGTGCTCTTTTAGCAGAAACTAGAGCAAAGCCGTTGAAAAAATGCATATTGTTTGCAAAAATGGGGCAAAAAGAGTCAATATAATACGTAAGTATATAACGACAGTTGATAAGGACTTTTTTGTCTGACTTTTGCATATGGTAGCGAAACTGATCATAAATAAAATAGATTAAGGCATCTCGTATATGCCTTATAAATATACAAAATTGGTAAATCTAATTGTGCATGTCCTAAGTATACATCCTACTTACTTTTAGTACGTACTACTATTATTTAGTCTGTGCTTTTAAAATATTGTAAAAAAAATATATGATTATTATAATAATCAAGTATGTACTAAATTTACTTTTTCGAATATTTTGTATTTGTACAGCGATATTTATGAGCCGCTGCAAACAACCAATACAATA